CCTACAGCAATAAACTGTTTGTTTGAGTCTCTGACATCTGTGCATAAATTTAAGGTATCACCTTTTGACAGTGAGGAATACGCTGACTTCTGGCTCTTACCTGTTTTCTAGCAAGATCTTCATTATTGTCAAAGATTAACAGGTAGGCCTTTCTTAGCAACCTTTTACCAGTCCTATTGACATGAAATCCCAAGCATTCTGCAAAGCCTGTTTGAACCATGTACAGTGAAAGGCAGGGGATTCTTGATATAGCACTTCTCTGACTGCTTTCCAGTCGGCCTCTGCAGGATGTTACAAACAGAGAGAGGCATCCCATCGGTCATGAAAGGCTTGTGATGTGGCTTTAAGCCCAGTTATTTGGGTTGCTGAGTTTAAGAGCTACAGGCATGGTTGAGAAAAGGACACTGCTGAGGAGCACTCTCTCTTCCTTCACACTGCATTCTATTACAGATCACTACATACAACTCAGTAGCACAGGGTACAACATATGAGATGAAAACAGCATCGGACTTACATTCAATCTTCCAGGGCTCCTATTCAATGTTTATATATTTAGTATCCCTTAAAAAGTTATGAATTCTTGAGTGAGTGTTATGCCCAGATATCTGGAGGTAGTTTCTTTTCCATTTGTCTCTCTCTGAAGAGTTTTGCTCTTCTACCCCATAATGCAGCTATTTTCCTCCATTAAATTACTAACATATATGGATATTTTCCCAAATAACTTAGTGCTTCTCCCCCCTTATGTCCTGTTGTTAAACACAGTATTCTTCTGAACAAATGTTTCCAAATGAGATTTTGACTATCAGACAGATTTCTCTCACTCCCTGAAAACACATTTTTTAGTTTGTTGTCACTGGCAATCAGGACACTATCAGGACACTATCACTATAGCCCAATCACTTTTGTTTATGATCTGTGATTAGATACTAACTTAACACATCTCCTCAACATACCCTGTTGTTACTTATGCAGCACTGGCCATGACTTTCAGAAGAGCTTTACCATTGGCATTTTGATAGCAAATGTTGTCATTCTTCTGTCTTTAAAATTTTGCAAAATTTAGGTTTAATTTTCCCACTCCTATGCTGCTTTTCTGCAGTTAATGAACTTTTCTTTAGCGATGTATATTCTTTGATGAGTTTGAGATCATAACTTTCACTCTTTTACAGAACTGAAAAGACGCTTACTGAGCTCAGGCTCCGTTTCAGTGCTATATCTTTTGAATCTGTTTCATTTCTCAGTAGAAATTCTGCTCAACTAAATCCAGCTTTAGGGTTATGCTTTCCATTATGCAGTTACACAAAAACAACTGAAGAAAACAAGACAATACTGTTTAGCATTCTAAAATAACTTTTTCTCTGATGCAAAGTTTGTTTTTTGAAGGTCTGCTGTTTGAGATCCACAAAATGTAACCAAATCTTAGAGTCTCTTGAACTGTCATTCTTGAGCTGCTTTAGTTGATTCCTGATACAACTCAGTGATGTGATTTTCAGTATAATTTACCTTCAAAATCTTGCATGAGGGAATATGAGATCATACCTCTAGATCAGTTAATCCCAGATGACAGCTGGAACAGCATTTCCTACAGCATCTATCTTGGAATAATCTTTCTGTGACTAGTTTTCACTTCAGTATTTCAGCCTATTAAATAGTTTTGCATGTTTGTAATTATCATTTGGCCTAGTAAGTCTAAAATCTTTCTTGTACCTTGATGGCAAATTGTGATAAATCAGAGGCTGATTGAATTTTCCTTTCAATACCTTGCAGTGATCCTGGTTAAGTTTGGGGTTTTTTTTCATTATGGTTCTCTTCCCTTTTGCTGCAGGTACATTGCCAGTTTCATACTGCAATAAATTTAAAAGCTTTCTTTTTAGTTCATAACAAACTCTGTCTTCTCCAAACTATCCCCAAATACTCCCTTCTCTTGAATCTGGGTTTTTTTTTTTTTTTTCTGAATTAGATACTGGGTTTGCTAGTTCAGGTACAGTAATACAGGCTTCTCCCCCCATCTTTTCTGCTCAAACTGATTCACTGCTCCAATTTTGCAGATATGCTGGACCAAATTTTTAGAGGTCCCTAACCACCCTTTACAGTTATTTGATCATCCTTTAATTTTCATCTGTGATGCATCTGCTGGGAGGCACAGGTTGCTCTTCAGCAGCACCTTTTGAATTGTCACTTCCTTGAGATCTGTCACCACCAGATGGAGTAATTTCAGGGTTATCATAAATTTTCAGTAATTATAAGTCTCAATTTTAACAGAGATCAAAATCTTTTGTAAAAATTAACACTCATCTCTGGAACAGTGGAGAGATAACATAAGAGCAAATAAAATTTATAGGCACATAAAAAGCACTGCCTTGGCAAAGCCTTGGCTCTGGGGATTACTAACAAGGGAGACTTAATATAAATCAACAAAATGTATAAATTATTAATATAGTTTTACAGAAACAAGAACAAAGAAATAGTTTATTGAGGATATTTCAGAGAAGAACTGGTATAAAAGGCATTAAAATACAGTATGAGATGGCAACGTCAATAGTATTTCTACTGATGCCAGTGGGTGCATTGGTTTTGGTTGCGGTGGCGATTAGAGCAGGGTCACAGAGCAACAGATGCAACTCCTCTTGCATCACTCCGTGAGCACGTGTAGCACTGATGGGAATGCCAGGCTTCTTCCCCCAAAAATCTACTCCTTCAGTCTGATACGCAACAAAGGTCCAGACCCTGCAAAGACTGCGTAGCTTTGTGTTGGAGCCAAACATGCAAGTTTCTGATGACCGTGAGATTAGTCCCACAAGTCTCATGAGAGAGAGCAAACTCAAACACATTTGCAAACCTGTGGGGGCTGTGAATGATTGGTGCCCTGAGGAACACAGGCTGGGAACAGGATTTACATATATTCAAGTGCAACTCAAGTACCTACTTGAGTTAGGGTCTGCGGGGGGTGTGTTTGGTTCTCACAACAGCATTTGGATAACATAAACAGTACTGGAAAAGAGCACACTAAGGTCTCAGTGATGGAAAACACGGCTATAGGACAATAGCTCTGAGAAGTCCAGCAGGGGCATGCAGAGGGTGTCCAGTGACCAGCAGCAAGCAGCCTGGCAACATAACAGATGAAGCAAAGCCACAGTGAAAACACCTGAGGTGGAAGGAACATGAAAGAGGACAAGGACTGACACATAAGTGGTGGTAACAGAAAAAGCCTCAGTAGTTTGGTTGGACAGGGGCAATGAGGGTGTCAGAGGGGTGGTTCACCTAAGAGGCCCCACTGTGGATCTTTGTGATGGCTCACTGGAAGGAAGGAGGCAAATCACTAGGGGCAGTGGGGAAAAGCACATTCATGGGTTTGGGGAGGGGGCCTGCACTGCACAGGTGAGAAACACAACGATTACCTATTTTCTAGGAAGAGAAATATTAGTGAGGCCACATCTAGAGTACCATGTCCAGTTCTGGGCTCCTTGGTACAGGAAAGACAAGAAACTACTGTGGAGGATCCAGATGTACAAAAATGATCACTCTTATGAGAGTGAGGGAGTTGAACGATGTACAAAAATGATCACTCTTATGAGAGTGAGGGAGTTGAACCTGTTTATCTAGAGAAGAGAAGACTGGGACAGAACCTCATTAATGTATATAAATATCTCAAAGGCAGGTGCCAAAAGGACAATTCCAGACTCTTTTCAGTGGTGCCCAGCAACAGGATACGGAGCAATGGCCATAAACTAAAACACAAGAAGCTTCACCTCAACATGAGGAAGAACTTCTTTACATGGCAGGTGGCAGAGCACTGGAACAGGCTGCCTGGGGAGGTCATGGAGCCTTTCTCTCTGAAGACATTCAAAATCCACTCGGGCATGTTCTTGTGTAACCTGCTCTAGATGACCCTGCCTTGGCAGGGGGGTTGGACTAGATGATCTTCAGAGGTCCCTTCCAACTCTAATGATTTTGTGATGCCAAACTGGGGCTGGTTACACCTGTGGCAGGGAACTTCTCTGGCAAGGCTGCAGGTGGCAGAGCAGGTAAGAGAGCAGCAAAGTGCGTGAGGCATGGCACGGCAAGGCACGGCAAGGCGTGGTGAATGCTGGATCCTGCCTTTGGTCACAATAACCCCATGCAGGCTGGGGCAGAGTGGCTGGAAAGCAGCTCAGTGGAAAAGGACCCGGGAATGATGGTTGACATTTGACTGAACAAGAGCCAGCAGTGTGCCCAGGTGGCCAAGAAGGCCAATGGCACCCTGGTCTGTATCAGAAATAGTGTGGCCAAGCAGGACCAGGGAAGTGATTGTTTTCCCTTATACTCGGCACTGGACAGGCCGCACCTTGAGTACTGTGTCCAGTTCTGGGCCCCTCCTTACAGAAAAGATATTGTGGTGCTGCAGGACATTCAGAGAAGTGCAGCAAAGCTGGTGAAAAGTCTGGAGCCGCTCAGGGGCAGCTGAGGGAGCTGGGGGAACTCACCCTGGAAAAGAGGCGGCTCAGGGGAGACCTCATTGCTCTCTGCAGCTACCTGAAAGGAGGCTGAAGCAAGGTGGGGGTCGGTAAGTAGCCGACAGGAGGAGAGGACATAGTCTTAAGCTGCACCGGAGGAGGTGGACATTAGGAGGAACGTCTTCACAGAAAGGGTGATTAGACGTTGGAATGGGCTGCCCAGGAAGGCGGTGGAGCCACCATCCCTGGAAGTGTTTAAGAAAAGACTGGACGTGGCATTAAGTACTGTGGTTTAGTTGACACCGTGCTGTTTGGTCACAGGCTGGACTCGGTGACCCCGCCTGTCGCTCCCCCTCCAACCGCCTCCCCGACCCCGTGGTCCGGCGGCCCCGCCCCGCCGGGCGGAGGGCGCCCCCTGTCGGCCCCGGCGGCTGCGCACGCGCGTCCCGGTGCGCCGCTCCTTCCTTCCGGCCGCCATCTCGCTGCGCCCGCGTGCGAATCCCGGCCCCGCGCCCTGCCCGCCGCTCCTGCCCCGCTCCGGCGCCGCCTCCGCCCGCCGAGGTACGGCGGGGGTGGCCCGGTGGGGCGTGTGGCGCGGCCGGGACTGCGGGTCGGTGGGCAGTGGTACAGCGGCGGCGGTCGTGGTGGTTAGAGGAAAGAAAGACGGTTACGGGCTGGGCCTGAAGGGAGGCTCGGCTGGGCTGGGCTGGACTGGGCCTGGCTCGGCGGCCCTGCCCGCGATCTGAGCCCGCTCCCGGCCCTGTGACGGGGCGGGGGTGCCCGGCCCCTGAGGGTGCGTGTGGGTGTGCGGGCAGGGGCGGCTGCGGGGCCCCCTGTGCCCACTTGCCCCACCTGCGTGCCACACCCGCCTGTGCCGGCGCTGTTATTGCTTTCGCAGATGAAGGAGACCATCATGAACCAGGAGAAGCTGGCCAAGCTGCAGGCCCAAGTGCGCATCGGTGGCAAGGTAGGAGCGGCCACCTCGTCCCGCCCTGCTCTCGGGACTGCGTGTCCTGCACCCACACTGGGCCTGGCACGAGGGGTCATGGAAATGGAGTGGGAGCAGACCTGAGCATTCCTAGCTCGGCTGGACTGTCCTTAGAGATAGCGGCGCTGCTGCAGGGCGCTCTGGAGTCACATGCCTAGGGACAGTATGTAGTAGCTGAATCTTCAGTTATTTCACTTTGTTTTTCATATGTTAAAGCAGACTTAACACCCGATATTAGGGCGCACGGGAATCTCATGCCGTTTAATAAGACCAGGTGCACGGTGCTGTACCTGGGTCGGGGCAAGCCCCTCTGTCGATACAGGCTGGGGGAAAAAAGATCGAGGGCAGCCCTGCTGAGAAGTACTGGGAGGTGTTGGTGGATGAGAGGTTGGACATGACCCAGCAATGTGCACTCACAGCTCAGAAAGCCAGTTGTATCCTGGGCTGCGTCACAAGCAGTTTGGGCAGCAGGTCAAGGGATGGGATTCTGCCCCTCTGCTCTGCTCTGGTGAGACCCCACCTGGAGCGCAGCATCCATCTCTGGGGTCCCTAGAAAAGCTCCCTGTTGGAGCGAATCCAGAGGGACACTGAGTTGATCAGAGGGATGGAGCACCTCTCCTGTGGGAAAAGGCTGAGAGAATTGAGATTGTTCAGCCTAGAGAAGACAAGGCTTCAGGGTGACCTAGTTGCAGCCTTCCAGTACCTGAAGGGAGCCTACGATAAAGATCGGGCAGGACTATTTACGAGAGCATGTAGTGACAGGACAAGGGGGAGTGGGTTTAAATTGAAAGAGGGTAAGTTTAAATTAGATATTAGAAAAAAGTACTGTGGGGGTGGTGAGACACTGGAGCAGGTTTGCCCTGGGAAGCAGTGGATACCCCATCCCTGGAGGTGCTCAAGGCCAGGTTGGATGGGGCTCTGAACAACCTGGTCTAGTTGAAGGTGTCCCTGCCCACAGCAGGGAGTTGGAACAAGATGATCTTTATGGTCCAATCCAAACCATTCTATGATTTTATGATTATTGTATGGGCTGTTTTAGAAGACATGAAAGATTTTTAGTGAGTGGACCTTAGAGCAAGTGAGCTTGGGTATAGTTTTCATAACAAATTGTAGAGGGATTTGTTACAGACTCTTGTCAGAAATATTAAGGTTGCTCAAAGCTGGTTTTTTGTCTTTAAGCACAAGTTGGAAATTCTGTACTTGTCACATGCCTGTAGTTTTAGACTAACATGCTCAGAAGACATTTTCATTTTGTTAAGACATCTGAATATATGTACCTGTGTGCTTATTTATAATCTGAAAAGATAAAAGGGATGTTTAGTATAGTTGTATGGCAGTATATATTTTAATTACAGTGTGAGTCTTAATTCAGGAATTTGTCAGTAATGTTTTTATACTTGTGGGAACATACACAATATTCTAGAGTACAAATTATTCAACAGAACTCTTGCTGAGGAGTTTCCAGGAGCTTTCATTCCTGTGGGGTTTGGTTTTGTTTTTTCTTCTTTTTTGGCTGATCACTGGAGATTTAGGCAGTTTTAAATTAGGATTAGTGTACTTATTAGTTGTCTTGGTGATTTTTGCATATTCTTTGTATGAGTTACTGGTTAATTAGAGTACTCCTGTATTATGTTGCTGATTTTGTGCATGTTAACCAGTGTATGTTGACTGTAGAGGCTTTTAATGTTTGTCACATAAGAGCATGTGTTCAGATTACAGCTCTCACAGCTCTCTGGTCAATATCAAAAAAGTCTTTTAGAGACATTAACCAAAGCTTTGAATGGTGGTGCTGTAGTTTAGTTTTAAAATTGGCCCGTGAAATATTTGGAAAGGCTGAACTAGAGTTTTTAAATTTTTTTTTTTATAGTTCCAGATTATACCTGGGATTCTTCATGGCATTGTTGCCACGTAAATTGAGATAGGTGTGGAGGAGATACATGTTTCTACATAGTCCTTGAATGTTTTGAAATTTACTGAGGTCTTTGGTCCAGAGAGACTTAGCAAATACCTTATCTGTCTCAATTTCTGGGTAGACAAGGCACTAAAATGAAGCCATTTCTGTTATTTTTAATCATTTCCAAACCACTGTATGTGCTAACCTGACAGTAGCAGGGAATGAATATCAAGCTTTCTAGACAAAAACCTAAACTTCTGAGGTGTAGTCTTCCAAGTGTTAGTTTCATATGAATTTGTCATTAACACTCCTTGTTATTGGTAACTGAGTTATGTTAGAGTTGTTAGCGTCCAGCCAGTTTTCTGACTTCTGACAGTAAACTGAAAAGGTATTCCAGCTATTTGTATGGCTGGGCAGCAACACATTCTCTTAGTGCTGTCATGTGGCAGATGAGCAACTGGAGTTGGAGGACTTAGATTCGTAGTTACAGGATGTAAAAGAGGAGTTTAGTTTCACTTATTCCTAGACATTTTATGTCATATTTTACTGAACCCTTATGATTGTGCAAGGGAGTATAGAATGACATTTTGTGCTTTTTCATGGGTATAGTTAATCTTCTAATGTGGGACAGTAATTTCCCTGGAGAAATCTAGAGCTCTGGGTCTGTAGGGAACTTAACCTTTTCTTGTTTGGATTATAAATCGGGTTGGTCTGGAACATTTTTTACAAATGAATTTACAAAATATTTTAGAAAAATAGGTGTTCTTCAAATATGTAAGTCCATCAGATGGGACATGACTATCTGGAATAAAAATGGAGTATTTTGAGTTTTCTTATATTCATTTATTAATTATGTGTTTATAACTTTATGGCTTCTGACTATTACCAAAATTTGACTAATTTAAGAAAGATGATCTAAGGAAAAAGTAGTAAGCTTCAGAAATTACCTAAAGCTGTTAATTCTTTAGTTTTATGTCTGTGATAGCTTGGGTTAACAATGGTAAACTTGCAATTTCTCTTTTCTAAGATATTGCAGAATACTATAAGATTTGTGGAATAAATATTTTCTGGTACATTGCTTCCTAAAACCTCATGTTTCTCACAGACTGTGCAAATATTGCCTTGTAGCAAGGGAAACACTGCTGCAGTGCAGCTGGAGGGCGGGGTTGCATGCACTGTAACAGAAACACAGTAGTAGAATTTTATATGTTGAGTTGATTTGTCGATGTTGTAAAATAGTTACACAGCCCTGAGGATTAGAGTTTATGAAGAACTACTTAAGTTTTTGGTTTTTTTGCAAAGGGTACTGCCCGCAGAAAGAAGAAGGTTGTTCACAGAACAGCTACAGCAGATGACAAGAAACTTCAGTTTTCATTGAAGAAACTAGGAGTCAACAATATTTCTGGAATTGAAGAGGTAATTGCTTTAAAGGAAAAAAACATTCTATATATAAATAGAAAATGTATTAAAATCAATTTTCTGGTAAGTAACATAGCTCCTAAACTTGTCTGTAAAATATCGATAGGTCTTCATAGGGCTTTAAGAACTTCAATTTCATGTTGAATTGAAAGATCTTGCTAAACTGCATCAAGTACTGGATTTTTTTTCTTGCAGGTAAACATGTTTACCAATCAAGGAACAGTCATTCACTTCAATAACCCAAAAGTTCAAGCATCTCTGGCTGCTAACACTTTCACTATCACTGGCCATGCGGAGACAAAGCAGCTGACAGAAATGCTTCCTAGCATCCTAAACCAGCTTGGAGCTGACAGTTTGACCAGCCTGAGGAGATTGGCAGAAGCCCTACCCAAGCAATGTAAGTTGAAACTTGAATGCATTTCATGCTGGCAGCTGACGTGAGGCAGTGCACTCTTGCTGTTTGCAAGCATACTGTAAAATGCTTATAAAAAATGGAACTCCTTAGATCTTATTTATAGCTTAAATCCAATAACAAGTATAACTCTGTAAAGTAGAGTCACCTGTTGGCATGTCTTGCAGCTGGTCTAGCACTGGAAAGCTGTAGCCAGACTTGATTTTGTAGTAGTTTACTTCTTGATGTAGCTACCATATTTTGATGTACCTTGTTCATTAAAGCTAGGTGGATGAATTACTTTTGAAGAGTTAGGTTTTAAAGAAAGATAAGCTTTGAGTATGTCTCTTTTGACACTTTGAATGGAAATATAAGTAGTGGGGAAAGGGACTTAAAAACATCTTGCAATTGCTTTTCTGCCTCACAGGTGTGGTGAAGGTATTTCTTGCGTGAGCTTTTTAATAAGTAGGAGGGAATTACACCATATTTGTAAGGAAGTACATTGTCATTTCAGTATGCATAGAATAGTGCAGAGAACAGGACTGGCGTGAGCATCAAGCTGGATACACCAATTTCCTGTTCCATCCTTAAATTAGTAAAACAATTTGAACGTTTGTTCTTTCTAAAACTGTGTGGGAATAGTAGAGGAGGGACTTGAGTATGTGGTGTTTGGAAAAGATGCTGCCACTAAGGATGAGAATTAGGAGTGAAAGACAGGCTTGTTGACACTGGGAACATTCCTTATGTCCTTCATGTACAGTCTTCCTACTTTCTGAAGTACCTTAAGCCTGTTCCTTTTAAGGTATGAAACATCCTAAATACAAAAAAAATTGAGGAATATAATTGTGTCCAGTTTCTGGTAATTCTAACTAGATTGTTAATTTTTTTCTTCCTCTTGCCAATGAAACCGCCTCTATTTCCATTCCTAAAGTTGATGATCGTTCCCTCCTGTCAACTTCCCACTGAAAAAATCCTGCTAGAAGTAACTGTCTTCAGGATGTGGGGTAAAGTGCTTCTTTCCCCATGGTCCTTGGGTCCCTTCTTCCTAATATCATCTGTGTGTGGTTTCCTTGTGATAGTAGTAGGCTTGAAAGAACTTCCCTGAAGTTCTGTCTTCTCATAACAAGGTGGTTATATTCTAAGATAAATTGTGTAATTATAATAAGAGGGAGGTTTGTTTGAAGTGATTGCTTTGTATGACCTAGTTCTTTTCCAGTTAGGGTGGATCGCAGAATATGCACAAAACTTTCCATTCAATATTGTCAGCTAGATTTGGAAGCCTAACATCAGCGAGCGAAACATCTGTGATGATTGCAGGTGCTAAAGTAAACATGGAGATGAGAGACAATGCAGGCAACTTAGGAGGAAATAACATGGTTTGCTTTTAAAATGTCCTATTTGACACTAAGATGCACTTGAGATTTAAGAGCTTTCTGCTGTTAAAAAAGCAAATGAAGGTTAGTGATGTCCTTATCCCGAGCCCTTTCAAACCAAAGTTTATACATTCGTTGGCTCTGGTTGTCTAGAAATTATTGTACAGGTCTAGTATGAACCCGTCTTGTGCCTTATGCTTTTTTTGAAAACTAGGAAGGATGAATCAGAACAAAACTGAGGTGATAGAGAATATGAGACAGCTTACCCTTGGTAGTACAGCTAAGAGTAGCAGTAAAAGTAGTGGCACCTGAGATATCTGTTCTTAGTGTTATACTGCTGCAGTTCAGCAGATGCTTGTTGGTCTGCTACTGTGGATATGGTCAACTCTCTACCTCTTGTCAAATACAATGGGAATGGTTAAAGAAATTACTGAGTCAGCAAACTTGGGGACCAGAAGACTTGGTCACCTCAACCACCTAAGAAGTGTGAAACTGTGCATCCAGTTCCCTAATTCTCTGACTTTGCCAGGGAACAGTAGTGTCTTTTAAATACCTCTAAGTCATGTGTGTCCACCTGCAACTTCCCAATTGCACCTCAGTTTTCTTTGAATGTCTAGGATCATAAGATCCTTTCTTTTCCTTTAAAATGGATCATGTAAAATACATAAATCTTGAGAAACACAAAGTAATCAATAAACCAACCTACTTTTAAGAGAAATTGGTAAAATCAGTCTGTGCATCGTACTTGAAAATTACTACCATGCGGGGCACTCAGTATAGTTAGATACAAGATGGTGACCAGTAAGCTGGTTTAGCACACATCTTCTGATTTCCCCGCTGGACTCTTTGAGCATTATCAGTAACAAAGGAGTGTGAACTTCCTAGATTAGCTGAAAGATTTTTGTTCAGCAGGGGAACTGGATAAAGCATTGTATCTTATCTCAGGGTCTTACATAATGCTTTCAAAAAACACAAAGCAAAACAGCTAATGAAGATGTTTATGGTGAGTTTGAATGACACTTTTGAACTTCTTGCTCTTGCAGCTGTGGATGGAAAAGCACCTCTTGCTACTGGTGAAGATGATGATGATGAAGTTCCAGGTAAGAACAAGCATGCAATGGAGGAAAAGGAAGTGAATTTTGCTTAGGGATCTCAGCATAAGTAGAGCATATAAGATCAGGCTGAGGATGGTAAAAGTATTGACTAGTCACTTGCTGCCACAGAATTTCTGCAGGCAGATTACTTCCTTGATTTCAGATACCATGAGAGACTTAGTAGTTTGAGCTAGTATTTTAGTCTTGTGTAGAAGTAATAGCTATGGCTAAGACAATTATTTAATATTCCATAAGAAGGGTGTGAAGAAAATACCTTCTCAGTATGATTTTGCCCAGTTGTGGGTATAGTGAAGTTAAATGCTTTTAAAATTGTGCTTTATAATGAGTCATCAAAAACTTCCTTGACTGAGCAAAGAGAATGAATCATGAAGCTCTTAGAGGTTATTTGGTCTGTATTTTATAAGCTGAAAGTTTTTATGTTGTAAAAATTTGATATGAAGTGGAACTTCGGACAAAAATCCAAACCCAAAATGTTTGGAAAAGGGAAAGTGGGTCAAATTTTAATTCCAAGATTCTTCTTTTTCTAGATCTTGTTGAAAACTTCGATGAAGCTTCGAAGAATGAGGCAAACTGAACTAAGTGTCACTTTCTGAATAAAACTGAAACTTGAAAAAGCTACATGGAGCTGCTATTTTATATTGTGACTGCTTGATTTTATTTCCTGATGAGATCTCAAGATCTGTCATATTTGGAAACTCCTTGAATCTGCAGCTCCTTAGTTAATGCTTGTACACAATATTATTTTTGTGGCCCGAACAGACATATGCTTTCAGATAAGTCAGATTGCTAACAAATTTCTGCCTAGACACATTTTTTGAGTAACTTGTATACAAGCAAAACCCTATCTTTAATGAACTTTGGCATACAATAAAAACATTAAAAAAAGTTTCTGGTGTGGCTTTTTTTCAGAAAAGCAGAAAGAAAAATGGCCCTAAGTATTAATCTTTAAAGGTTTTGCTTTTCTGCAGGGCATCTTCCTTTTGCTGTGTTAAAAAGCTGACCTCTGAAAAAAAAAAAAGCATTCTGAAGCACTTTGTATTTAATCAATGAATTCCCCGTGTGTGCAGGTCAGAGCTACATATGCTGTAAGTCACTTTGTAACCTACTGAATTTGAGAAATAAATTTGTATTCTAGCCACAATTACTGGTGGCTTAATATAGAACATGCAAGTTGAGAAAGAAATTTTGGTCATGAAGAACAGCAGCAAGTAATTGGCATCTCGGCGAACTTTGAGTGTTAAATATTTATCTTCAGTGAGTGTTTAATAGATATTTGCAGGGCATAACTGTTAAATGCGTTAAACAACACTTCCCTATTATTTTAATTTTACTTATCTGAAAATATCAGTTTTGTGGGGGAATGAAGTATAGGAAGGGGGAAAAGCCTTAATAAAATTAATAATGGCTCTTAATTAAGTCTGTATTTATCAGCTCCAGATCTATTAACTAATAAGTCTGTTTGAATGTTTCAGTAATATGTTATTGCTCTTGTGTGTTACAGAGAAAAAAATAACTTGGTTTTAGGGCACAGGAAAGACTTTTCAAATTCCATTCTGACCTTTGTATAGCTGGAGCTTCCAGGGACGAGGCCTAAACTTCATGTTTGTGAGTCATTGATGTTAATGATAGATCAGATCACTTGCATAACAGAAGGTAAGCTAGGATAGAAGAGCACTCAGCTGCTGGCCTTCTAAGCTTATTTCTAGAGCAAGTACTTTTGGAAGTGGAAATTCACCCTGACTTGTCCAGGATAAAATCCAGGTAGGACTTTGCTATAGCCATAACAAAAGTCTACTTTGTGCCTGGGAAAAGGTGGGTCTGTGTCTAACTTGCCAAGCACGTTTATCATGGTGTAAGTCATTACTGTTGGGAAACTGGAGGAGCTTATTCAAGCTCCATAAAACTCTTGTGGTTTGAGGTCAGACACAGTCTGATGTGAGCATGACATGGCTGAAGTCAAGTGCAAGAACTTAGAGTAACAATATGAGTGCACTTGTCTCAGTTTGCAAGTACTTTATCAGTGAATTATACTTCTAGCATTGAATTAGTTAAAATTCAATTTGAATTGTGTAAGTATGGTAGAAAAACTAGACTTTGTGAATCTGTGTTTTGAAATGAGGATGGTTACCTGTAAAAGGTAACCAAATTCTACAGAGTAGTTTACCAGACTTCCTGTGACCTGTCGAATCAATAAATGACATGCTGGGTTTTTCTTAGAAGTCAATAAATGTGTTACCTGTTTTGTGATTCAGATATGTAAGTCCTCATAAGTACTTTAAGCCACTGTAGCTGCTGTTAATGAAATACCTCATACTAGATTCCTATGAAGTGACTTAAGTGTCTTGCTTAGGTGTTCCAGACAGTGTTAGCTTTTTCCCCACTAACAGACATACTCGATGCTTAAAAAATAAGATCGTTACTAAAGCAGTGTCTTTGAAATGCAAAGTAAGGCTAATCTAGTGATAAACAGCCATGTGACATGTCTGGAAATCTGTGTGCAAGGTATGCTCCCAGCACACTCCCAGTCCAGAAATACTGGCCTATCTGCATCCCCAGGCTCTTGACTGAGGACGAAGATGTGAGCAAAATGTGTTCTTGATTATTGCAGATTCTAACTGGAATCTGGAAGTGTATAATAGTCTTCATGACTAACTTAAATGCTCAGTCCTGGCCTCAACGCTGTGATGACTTCCTCTTGCTAAGGAGAATTTGGTTATGGTCTTCCTAGTCTGTCATTAACTGCTAGAAATTGAGAATAGTTGTCATGATGTTTCTCATCAGGTTGAACTTCTATGTAACTATAATGTAATTATGTCATTACGGATTCACATCTGTAGTTTTACTCAAGGAAAATGGCTTTGTATTTCCATTCCAAACATTTTGGACTATGGAGAAATGAAAACAGATGCCTGTGTTTCTATTGAAATAAAGGCTTTTTGAGTTGCCTGTGTTTCTATTGAAACAAAGGTGTTTTTGAGTTTTTTATTTTTTAAAAGCTAAGAGAATGTTCACGGTCTGTCACATTAAGCTCTGAAATAGCTTGATTCAATGCAGTAGTGGCTGTTAGTGAGATTTTTTTCATAATGTTTGCAACAGGTTTTTGGAAATATTTTCAAAATTGTTAATCGTGCTTCAAGGGCTTTGCACTGATTTAAAATTAGTATATTCTGATATTAAAAAAAACCAACCCTCTTGGAAGGTGGTGAAACTATGTATTTTATTAAGCTAGTGTGGTGCATATATAAAAATAAAAAGCTTCCTACTGTTGTTTTAAAATAATATTGTTTTTAAAGCTCTAGAACGCACCTTGTGTTATTACAGGTTGGTTTGTTGCTTTTATTATTAAAGCCTTGTGAGTCTGTGGTTGTGTCTCTTAGGAAATCTAACCAGTGAGAATTTCACATAATTAGTAGTGCACGTTTAACTTATGTGACAAAGGAAGAACACTTGGTTTAAAATATTCACAGCTCAGTACCTCAAATGCCAAATCAGTACTTTTGTATCTTATTATATTGATTTGCTGGGGATGTGAGGGAAGTTCAATGCAGTTGCCACCTTTGAAATTTTGTGCTGATGCTGTTTTGTGGGTGACACATCATATACATGCTTTACTTTTCCTCAGGTGTTTTGCTGTATCTGCTGAAAACCTAAATGTCATGTTATGGTACGGATAGAGTAATAAGCTATTCTCTTCTTGATACAAAGAAAGTAGGTTGTATTTGTTATCAGAGGCAGTGGAGGAATGTAAGGAGAAATACAATGCAATCAGAACATGGCTAGGGAAAAAGTTTCTGTGGTGGAAGGTGAGTGGGAGAAGTTAATATTTTTCAAGGAAGGCAGAGGAAATGATGAGAAGCCAGATCATGGAAGCTGTTTGATCGTCCTGTTTGTGGGAATGGATTCAAACAAGTTAGGAAACTAGACAGTTAATATTCAGCACAGATAGGAAAGCCTATAGGGAAGTCCATGTTGATGATGGCTAAATTACAGCCTTAAGTGGCGAGATGGTGGTATATGTAAAGAGGAGGGATTTCTAAGCTAGATATTTTAAAATATTAACAAATACTAACATGTCTTGCCCTTACCTAATACATGCAATGTGGCTTCTGATTTTTCTAAGCTATTCTTTATTCCTTTTCAGATCTATCATTTTAGCTGCATCCAGAAATTTGTGAGAACTGCTGAAAACATTTTCTACTGGATATGGTAATTGAAAGATCCTGACTAATAACAGAGATTGAACTCTGTTTTACAGAAAAGGAGCTGACAGTGCAGCTGAGCCAAGTTTACTTAGCTGAGGTGAACAGTCTATAGCACGAGACAGTAAGATGATTAGTTTGACTGTGAGTTGAACTCAGTAACTTTAAAATGGATAAAAAGTGGATGCACATTAAAGCTCTGAGAATCAGATGTATAACTTTCTGTGTATTCTAATTGACTTTAAGCTATGGTTCCGTGGTAACATATGATACATGCAGTCTCATAATGAAAGTTTTAATTGTTCTGTTAATATTCTGCCTTCATGCATGGATTATCGTTAGAATAAAATGTTATTGAATAGAAGGAAGGCAGCTTATGTGATACTGTTACTGTACCATCTTGCTGTAATTTTTTTTTTTTTTTGCAAGAAGGAGATATAACAAATATAACTTACTGCCTTTACATTGCACCAAGAATATCCTGGCAATGAAAAAGACATTCTAACAATGTTTGTGTAGTGCAGGGATTAGTACTTTTACAGGCAAGTTACAGCCCAACATTTTGAATTGCTAATGAATCTGGACAAATCAGAACAATTGTTGAACAATTAGTGTTGTAATGCTATAAGCACTAATCATTTTTACAGCGAATGTCTATTATTTCTTACGTGGGCAGAAGGCAGAATTCTAGGACATCTTACTGCTATTCAGTTACTGGATTGGTTGAAGGTCAGTTTGATCTAGATGCAAAGTGCTTTTGCTACTCAATAACCAACATTTGCAACGTGTTTCGCACAGTCAGGGATTTGATGTGCACTGCAGTATACTGGCAGATAACTGTGGAAGTATCTGCTGCACTTGAAATCCTTATTCTGCATTTCTATTGTTTGTTTCTGAGTACTGAAAAAATATAGTTGTGGGTTGTATCCTACTCCAAATTTTTAGGACATACCTGGAGTTAAAAGTGCTTACATTCTCTATGTAAGCTGCACCTGAGTTAATAATGTCTTTCGGGCTTATGCTGGAATCTCAAAAATTTCAGCCATGTACAGCTGATCAGTATCTTGCTTCGCAGCCAACATATAACTTGTGGCAAGTGTTTGCACCTGCATGTTATTGTTGAGTTTAAAATGATGCAATAAGATTAAGCAAAGTTTGGAGTTGTTGGAAGTATCTACTGAAACAGGAGGAGCTCTGGGTTTAGGCCGCAACTTCAGGAACTGTGGCTAATCCTGCTATTCTTTCCTGTTATTTCCAGCAACATGCATTAGGCAATTACATAGGTAACTGAGTATGACTTGACAGTCAGATCTCCATTTTGTGGGCTTCTGTTTTGTGATGAAGTCCTAATAACTGTATAAGCCAGACTCCTGCCATCTTTAAGGGCCTAACTGAGATGCAGGAGGGCTTCCCAGGTGGCCAATGGCATCCTGGCCTGTATCAGGAACAGTGTGGCCAGCAGGACCAGGGAAGTGATTCTTCCCCTGGACTCAGCGCTGGTGAGGCCACACCTCGAGTGCTGTGACCAATTTTGGGCCCCTCAGTTCAGGAAGGACATTGAGGTGCTGGAGCAGATCCAGAGAAGAGCAACAAGGCTGGTGAAGGGACTGGAGCACAAGTCCTATGAGAAGAGCTGAGGGAAATGGGGTTGTTTAGCCTGGAGAAGAGGAGGTTCAGGGGAGACCT